TGACAAAAAAAGGTAATTTTGGGGAAAAGGCCTCCCTATTCCATAAATGTTGGTAGGATAGCTGGCTAACCATATCCAGAGGAATAAAACTGGACCCCTACACCTCTCACCATACACAAAAATTAACTTGAGATAGATTAAAGATTTAAATGGAAGACCTCAAACTATAAGAATCCTAGAAGAAAACCTTGGAAACACCATTCTGGGGATCAGCCTTGGGAAAGAATTTCTAAGTCCTCAAAAGCAACTGCAACAAAAACAAAAATTGACAACTGAAAGCAATTTAAACTAAACAGCTTCTGCACAGCAGCCAGGTGCGGTGACTCACACTTGTAATCCCAGCACTCTGTGAGGCCGAAGCAGGTGGGTCACCTGAGCTCAGGAGCTCAAGACCAGCCTGAACAGCCTGGCCAACATGGTGAAACCCCATTTCTACAAAACATACAAAAAAAATTATCTGGGCATGGTGGCACATGACTGTAGTCTCAGTTACTTGAGGGCCTGAAGTGGGAGGACTGCTTGAGCCCAGGAGGTTGAGGCTGCAGTGAGCTGAAATCCTGCCACTGCACTCCAGCCTGGGTAGCACAGTGAGACCCTATCTCCAAAAAAACAAAAGAGCTTCTGCACAGCAAAAGAAACTATCAGAGTCAACAGGCCTTTGCTTGAGAGTGCAAAAACTAATATCCAGAATCTATAAGGAACTTTAAACAATTGAACCAGCAAAAAACAAATACATACATTAAAAATGCACAAATGACACGAACAAACACTTCTCAGAAGACAACATACAAGTATCCAACAAACAAAATAATGTTCCACATCACTAGTCAGAAATGCAAATCAAAACCACAATGAGATACCATCTCACACCAGTCAGGATGACTATTAAGAAAAAGTCAAAAAAACAGATGCTGGCAAGGATGCAGAGAAAAGGGGAACATGTATACAGTGTTAGTGGGGAAGTCAATTAGTTCAGCCACTGTGGAAAGAAGTTTGGAGATTTCTCAAAGAACTGAAAACAGAACTACCATTCAACCCAGCAATCTCATTAGTGGGTATATATCCAAAAGAGAACAAATACTTCTACCAAAAAGATGCATGCACCATGGTCATCACAGTGCTATTCACAATAGCAAACACAGGGAATCAACCTAGGTGCCCATCAATGGTGGATTGGATAAAGACAATATGGTATGTATACACTATGGAATACTATGTAGCCATAAAAAGAACAAAATCAAGTTCTTTGCACCAACATGATTGCAGCTGGGGGTCATTATTCTAAGAAAATTAACAGAGGAACAGAAAACCAAATACCACAAGTTCTCACAAGGGTACAATGGGTACTCATGGACATAAAGATGTCAACATCACACACCAGGGCCTATGGTGGGGAGGGGGAAGCGGGGAGGGATGGCATTGGGAGTTATACCTGATGTAAATGACAAGTTGATGGGTGCTGATGAGTTGATGGGTGCAGCACACCAACATGGCACATGTATACATATGTAACAAACCTGCACGTTGGGCACATGTACCCTAGAACTTAAAGTATGAAAAAAACAAAAAAAGATGTCAACAATAGACACTGGGGGTTATTCGAGGTAGGAGGGAGGGAGCAAAGGTGAAAAACTATTCAGTACTACACTCATTACATGGGTGATGGGATCAGCCATACCCTAAATTTCAGCATCACACAATATATCCAGGTAATAAACATACACACACACCCTCTGAATCTAAAATAGAAGTTATAAAAAAAATCAAATTTGGGGCATCACATACAGCTCTTGAAAAACAAGAAATGACATTCTCTCAGAATAACCTAGATGACTGACAGTGGTGACACCCATTGTTTTTCTTATTTGGGACAATGAGAACTGTAGTTTCCCTTTAATAAGTAAAAAGCATGCATAATGTCTCAACAGAGCATAAAAGTAGTCTTATAAGGCATTTTATACTTCCATGTCCTTTTCCTTATTTGAATTTGTATAAATTATCTTTTTTAATGAAGTGACTGAAGACTTTTGGCACCATACCCTAAGAAAACTATCAACAGTCTGTAGGGGTGATCTTTTACAGAAGGAGATAGGGGTTTTCACTTGGCAAACGGCCAAGCAGCACCCACACACTGCTATAAAGCAACCTTTCCAAGGACTTCCTAGGATATACCCAAAATATAATCATGTTCTATAAGTTCTTCAGACATAATAGTGATAAAAATGAGCCATGAAATATTTCAGAATGAAAATTTTGATGAGTTGCTATTGCTATTAGGATTTTGTGACTGCTGTTATCAATTAAGTAAAAGTGGAAGACAAGCGTTTTACTTTCCATAAACAAGGCCTTTCCAAACGTTCTTTTCCCTTAAAAGTGAGTATTAGTCTGTTTTCACACTGCTACAAAGAACTGCCCAAGATTGAGTTATTTATAAAGGAAAGAGGTTTAATTGATGCACAGTTCAGCATGGCTGGGGAAGCCTCAGGAAACTTACAGGCATGGTAGAAGGTGAAGGGAAAAGAAGGTGTCTTCTTCACAAGGCGGCAGGAAGGAGAATGAACACAGGAGGAACTACCAAACACTTATAAAACTACCAGATCTCATGAGAACTCACTATCAAGAGATCAGCATGGGGGAAACCAGTCCCATGATTCAATTACCTCCACCTGATCTCTGCCCCGTGATTCAATTACCTCCACCTGATTTCTTCCTTAACACACAGGATTACGGGGATTAAAATTCAAGATGAGATTTTTGGGTGGGGTCACAGCCAAACCATATCAGTGAGATTTTTAGTGTCCACCTATCTTAGGCTGCCTCAGAAGATGACAAAAAATTCAAGTTAATGCAAAAGTTTTCTCCATGGGAGAAAAGTTTAGTGTAAAAGTGACTATAATCCCCTATAGCTAATTACCAAGCAGATAAAGATCCTGCTGGCCAAGAACCATTGTGTCCCATAGAAATGCCTGCATATATGAGCTATGTTGTCACGATGTTCATGGCACTGGAATATTATAGGTAAGTGGTTCATGAAATGGTTTCAGGGACCCCTCCCCCCATCACCCAGAGAAATGGAATATTGCAACTGGAATCATTTCAAAATTTGAGTTTCAGATGTAATCTTTGGGAAGATTACATAAATCGGTGATTATGGCTCTTTACACTTCCATTTTTCAAACTCCAATATTCAAAAAGTAAAATAGTCATATGAGAACCTGAAACCGCCTTTGTGAAAATTATAACTGAGGAAATTGGGACAGTGAAAGATCAGTCCTAACTGACTCCATCTTGCTTCTAACCATTAAGCTGTCCTTGTTCATACCTTGGCGCAGGCCGAACTAACCTTGGGAAGGAATTTAGTTTATGGTTTGACTCAAACAAAATTGATAATAGCCCTTTCCCGAAAAGACCCCCTTCTTGCCTGGGGACCAGTCTGCCTTCATTGGACTAACAAATTAGCTACAAGATTAGAAATTACAGTTTAGGGGTCATGCAGCCTCTGGCTGCAAGAGTCTGAACCTCTCCAAATTGCTCCTGGGGATAACATCACTATTGTAAAACCTAAGGTCAGTGCTTGAGATATTTTACAGACCCTTCTCTCTCCATGAATCAGCTGACACCATCCAGACCAGTAATGTGTCTCAACCAGTTCTGCCATCCCACCCAGGAACAGAAGACACCAAGAAGACCTCACTTGGACCCCCATCTCCAAGCTGACCAATTAGCACTCCCCACTTCCCGAGTCTCTAACCGCCAAATTATCTTTAAAAACTCCGATCCCGAAATGCTCGATTTGATAATAATTTTGAGTAATAATTTTTTGAGTAATAATTTGAGACTGATTTGAGTAATAATAAAACCCCAACCTCCCGCACAGCCGACTCTGCGTGAATTACTCTTTCTCATTGCAATTCCCCTGTCTTGATAAATCGGGTCTGTCTAGGCAGGGGCAAGGCGAACCCGTGGGGTGGTTACAAAACAACTTGAACCTTTTGGCTTTTGAAGCATATGTGAGGGTTTGCGTGGGGCTCCTTACTGGAGAACGTGCCACTTCCCTTGGACTAGAACCTCACTAGCTCGGTTTTCAAAGCCTCCTGCAAAGGCTGTGTATGCTAAAGGATGACATCTATCTTGAAATGCAAACGGTTCGCATCAGTTCAAGGCTTCACAAACTACCACAGCTCCCCACTGGCTTCAGAAAAGTTCAGAACTATGTGGATATTTGTAATGCCGCTGCTTCCCACCCCTGCTCCCCCGCTCCAAGCTCCACCTCATTACTCAGGGCTAAAAACAAAGTAAGTTACTATTATAACATACCCCTCCATTTCACTTCCTCAGCTCCTCACTACTGTTCCCCTAGTCCTCCCTATCCCATTCCCTCTGTCTCCTTCATTTCCTCAGCTAGTTAACTTCAGTGCCTTTTCTAAGATAAAGGGGGTATGACCTTTATCTTAGGATTCAGGATTAAAGCCCTTTCCACCATTGAAAGGTTATTAAATTCTGCTCCTCTCCCCTCCTGCAGCACCTAGTAATTAGCGCAGTCTGTCTCACAGAGGGTGCTTGGTAAATGAATGAAAAAACCCAACACACACTCTGGAAACAGGTGTGCACGTACAACTCAATCCACGCATGCGCGGAGGCAGAGCCCCAGGACCGCGAGACTATCCGCACAGCTTCTCTTTAGGCCCCACAGCCAGAACTCCAAATTGCCTAGTATCAACCCATGCACTCTCTAATCCGGCGCCACACGCCGGGCCTTCCCCACCATCTCATCTGCTTGGGAACGTAAAGGGTTCTGTGGGGCAGCTGCAGCTTTTGTGCCCATCTGTCTCCAGAGCTTCCCATCTCTGGAACGCGGGAGGGAACAGAGCTCTAGCCTGAATAACTCAGCCCGGCCCGGCAGTTCCCGAGGTGAAAGTGCCAGCGCTAGAGCAGCGGCAGGGCGGGGAGCGGGAGACCGGGCCCCAAGGAACCGCGGGGCTAGCCCAGCTACGTATTACCTTTCCAGGGCCTGTAGGGTGTAGCTGATGAGCGGTCTCTCCAGGATGGGGCAGAATTGCTTCGGGGTGGGGACACCCATCCTCTCCCCGCACCCCCCGGCAGGCAACACGGCTGCCACGGCGAGCGAGTGGCGCCCGGGCTCTGTCCGGGCCGCGCTCTGCAGGGAGGCGGAAGCCGCGTGGTCCGCGCCGCGCTGACCACTCAGGCAAGGACCCGGCTCCGCGGGCCCGGAACTGCCAGGCGGCCCGGGCTCCATGGCTGCGGGCGGAGCGGCAAACCACGCTAGCCCCGGGCCGATGCGACCCCCCGCTGCTCCCACCCTCGGCCGGGGTCGCGGGGTGAAGGGCAGACCACGGAGAGGGACGCGGAGCGCGCAAGCAGAAGGCTCCCCCGTGAGCCGCCGGAGCCTCGCTGTTGCTGCCCCGCAGGGGACGATCCCGACAGCCGCGGCAGCAGCTGAGGCTACCGATCTGCCCTCGCGGCGCGGCTGCGGCCTCCGCACCCGGGCCCAGCGCCTCTGGGAGGGCTGACTTGCCCGCTCTGCGCTTCCCCCGGGCAGGCCCAGCTGTCGCCGCAAGTGGAAGTGTCAGCATGCCCTATATATCTAAAGATCGCAGATACTTAAGGGCCATGAGTATGCAGGAGAGGTCAAGCCTCTGTCCCATTCCTCCCTGCTTTAAAATTTTGGAAGAGATTGAGATTCAAATCACGGGATGGGACGTAGGGTGCGTATGCACCTCGATTATCTGAATTTCATTAAGCTCCGGAGGCTTCCTGGTTCCACCTGGGGTAAAGACAGATGGATTAGCAACTGTTATTGTGGCACATCAATAATTCAAACTGTGGTGGCTCTCAAACTTGTCTGCAAGTTGGAACCACCTGGGGAGCGTGTCCTGACACGCTCAGAGATTGGGATTTAATTGGTCTAGTGTGCACCGACCGGGCTTTGGAATGTTTTTAAAGATCCTCGGGTGATTCTGATGAGCAGGCACGTTTTGGAACCATAGGGCCAAAGCGATACTAATTGCTGAACAATTGATACACCTTATGTCATTTAGTCCCTAGGAGAACTCAACTTTTGTCATTTCCCTTTTTACAAAGGGGAAAAGAAGTTAAAATGGTTAATCTATGTAAGATTGCACAATTAATGGCAGAGCAGCCTTAAGGCCCTCGTATAGAAGTAGGCCAAAGTTGAAGAATTCCAGGCCTAAAGCATATCTTACCTTATTTAGTACTCTTGTTGCTGGTGAGGTTTACCATGAAAGTATAGTGAAGAATTTGGAGGAGAGTACTATTGCATTAGTCCCTGGAATGTAAACTCCATGAAAGCAGCAACATTTTTCTTTTGGCTTGGGTTGTGTGTGTGTTCCCAGCTCCTGGAATGTAACAGAAGCTTAATATTTATTGAATGAATTGCTGATTAAATAGATTAATGATCATTAAAGTGTATAATCATCAGTAATTCAGTCTTAATCCAGTGGTTTATGATTCATTAGAAATAATCTTTTTAAACACTGGAAATGTTATCCAGTTACAGTATTTATTACAATTTTTATTTTTACCTATTTTCTCAGTTGAGAGCATACAAAATGATGTTTTCTGCTTTTTGTTTAGTCTTATTGAAGCCATTCTTTCACTTTTGTTACTTTTATTATAATTAGCATTTAGGTCCTGTGCTAGTTGAGGTTTGTTAGGCTAATAACTCTTAACTGAAAAGTGGTTGCCATAATATACTTCCTTGTAATTTTTATTGCTATTGTTCCTTTCTAACTTGATCTCGAGGTCTCTCTCTTAAGAGTGGCCATAAGCCAGAACAGTCACTCTTCAGGAGAGCTCTGGCCCAGAGAGGAAAGCTAGGTTCTGGTGTGCAGGTCAGATGCCAGAGGAGGCAGCACACAAAACATGTAAAATAACAGGTGCATTTTATCACTTACAGATTCACCAGAGAATAAGCCTGATGGGAAGTCTGGAGATAACAGGACACCCAACCAGCAGGTGGGGAGCAAGAGAGAGGACCTGTGGGGCTATGTTAAGGTCCAAAAGGCTTTATCTCTTAGGCTTTCCAGAGGGGGTTGTGGATTGACTAATGAAAACACCAGCAAAGGGGGAACTTGACTCTGGTGTCGACCATTGGGTTTTATCATGGTTAGCAGCTGCGGGATATGTTGGGTTTTTGGTCATGGAATGAGGAACAAGTATTCTGTATCACAGGGAGGGGAAGTTTTAAGTAAGCCACAGGTGATGTGATACAACTGGGTTTCAAACAGCTTATATCAGACCTAAAAATGAATGCCCAGGCAGCAACTATATGAAACAAGTTTGGCACGTTACTTGACTTCATAGCACCACTACCACACCTGTATCAAGCATTTAAATGTTTATTGACTAACTGGGTGGATGAATGAATGAGTCTATGAGAGCAGGAAGGCAAATCAAGTTAGTATTTCTATTAATATTGATCTTTAAACCTCCCTTTTTAATCTAAAGGTGGAGTTGTTATAAAGGTATTCTTCCTTAACCTTGAGCAAAGAAAAGTAGAGTAATAAAGCTCTTGTTACTCATTGCTATAGAATAATTTTATATAATTAAACATTGACAAATTTTAACTAGAATCGTATTTAGTTTTGTTCTTAGAGCAGATATATCAATTTAGATCTTACATGAATCCTTAGATCCTTATATCTTACATACTATGTATTAACAATGTCTAGCAGACCAACTTATAGGGAAAAAAGGGCAGATTATAGTATTCATTCATATATACGGTATGAGGCAACATTTTTCTCTGTGTCCTTTTTATATAAAATCATTAGTTCCATGTTATGCATACTTTGGGGTAACAGATGTAACTTCGTTGTTACTTAATACCAAGTTATAGCAGCCACATTATGAGAATATCTTCTCTGCATCAGGCATGTGAAAGTATATATCCTGAAAAGTGAAATCCTGTGGGATTCATTGGTAATAACCATTCTAAGATATCACTTGAAGAGTTTAGAAAACGTAAACCACAACTGAATAATGAAGCAGAGCATGCAGAGTTGGAAGTTCTTGGAGTCATTTCTGTGTTGAGCTTCCAGGTAGGCAAAATAATGGCTCTCCAAAGATGCCCATGTTCTTATCTCCAGAACATATTAATGAGTTACCTTACACTGCTAAAGAGACATTGCAGATGTGATTAAGTGAAAGATCTCAAGATGGAGGGGAGTAGCCTGGATTATCTAGGTGGGCCCTATGTAATCTCTGGCATCCTTGTAAGAGAGAGGTCAGAGTTAGAGAAGGAAGTATGAGGATGGAAGCAGCTATCAGAGTGCAGACAGGGGTGGGAATGTAGGCAACTTCTAGAAGCTGGAAGAGGCAAAGAAACAGGTTTTTCTCTTAGAGCCTGTAGAAGAACATAGCCCTGCCACCTCATTTTCAGATTTCTGATATCCAGAACTGTAAGATAATATACTTGAGTTGTTTTAAGCTGCTGAATCTGTGGTAATTTGTTATAGCAGCGAGAGGAAACTAATAACAGGCTTCACACTGAGGAAGATTCTCATTTGGACTATAATCTCCAAATGAAGTTATACGTAGTTAGAAATGCAGTAATATGATTGAAAAAATAAGGCACTGTTCATTCAACTTTATGTCCCATTACTAGACCCCCAGTATTGA